AGAATTCTTACCAAGACAACAAGTTTTCGAATTTAGCCAATTAATTTAAACCAGGCCCTTCGATACCAAAAAACAATTAAATTTAAATCTGATGGTTTTGACAACATAGGATCATGCCAATGTAAGAAACTGATATTTCATCAAGGGTATAAAAGACGAGGGCATTTGGAAAATCATCTGGCATTTGGAAAGACATTTTGGACTGAGATGAGAAATTTCTTCACCCAGATAGTGGTCAGCCTGCAGAATTCTCTGCCACTGAAAGCAGCTGAGACCAAAATATTCAATATTTTCAAGAAGGAGCTAGATATAGTTCTTAGGCTAAACGTATCAAAAGGGTATGGGGAGAAAGTGGGAACAGAGTTCTGAGTTGGATGATCAACCATGGTCATATTGAAAGGCAGAGCAGGTCTAAAGGGCCAAGTGGCATACTCCTGCTCCTACTTTCCATGTTTCTAGAACTCCAAAGATTCACAACCCTTTGAAAAAGAATTTCTTCTCATCGGAATCGAAAATGGTCAACCTCTTATTCTGAGATAGTGCTCGTGTATCAGAGGAAACAGTATTTAGTTGGTCAAATCAAGAATTTTGAATGTCTCAATTAGATCATCTCTCATTCTTCTTAATACCAGGGGTTATTGGCTGAGTTTATTCAACCCCTCATCACAGAAAACAATTTTAAATCATTTGCTGCGCTACTTCTCCAATGCAAATGATTCCATGCAAGTATATCTTTCCTTCAGTATAGGGTATTGCACATAAGTGCAGTTTTGCTCTGTGTTATCGCATCAAAGCCCTTTATAAATATAGAAAAAATTTTATTTCTGTGCTCCTTGTATGAGCATACTCAAATCCCTCTCAATAATAATATTGAGATAACACGGTGTAGAGCTGGATGAACACAGCAGGCCAAGCAGCTTCAGAAATGAAGAAGGGTCTAGGCCCGAAACCTCAGCCTTCCTGCTCCTCTGATGCTGCTTGGCCTGCTGTGTTCATCCAGCTCTACACCTTGTTATCTCAGATTCTCCAGCATCTGCAGTTCCTACTATCTCTGAATCAATAATAACATTTACAGGTTTTGCAATATTTCCTTCTACTCAAAGTATATAACACCCATTATATTCCATCTTTCATCTTGTTGCCCACTTCCTTAAGATCCCTATATCTTTTTGCAGCCTCTCTGCATCTTCAATTTACATTTCACCTAGTTCTGTTACGTCAAAGAATTTGATACTGTGTATTTTTGTCCAAGTCAGTAATATAAATTATGAAAAGTTGAGCCCCAGCATTGATCCTTCTGATACTCCATTTGTCACAGCAAACTAACTCGAAAATGACCCATTTATCCTTAAGTATCCCTTCCATGGTGCATTGACTTTGGTGTGTCACCTTATTGAATCCAAATATACTATATTTATCCTACTGGTTACAGCCTCAGAAAACTGTAATCAATTTGTTTAACATGATTTCTCGTTCATAAGCCATGTTGAATTTAGCTGATCATACTGAAATTTTTGAATTGTACTCTTAAATGACTTTATAAATGACTTGGATGAGGAAGTAGAAGGGTGGGTTAGTAAGTTTGCCGATGACACGAAGGTTGGAGGAGTTGTGGACGCCGTGGAGGGCTGTTGTAGGTTGCAATGGGACATTGACAAGATGTAGAGCTGGGCAAAGAAGTGGCAGATGGAATTCAACCCAGAAGACTGTGAAGTGGTTCATTGTGGAAGGTCGAATTTGAATGCAAATACAGGGTTAATGACAGGATTCTTGGCAGTGTGGAGGAACAGAGGGCTCTTGGGGTCAATGTTCATAGATCCCTCAAAGTTGCTACCCAAGTTGATAGGGTTTTAAAGAAGGCATATGGTGTGTTGGCTTTCATTGGTAGGGGAATGGAGTTTAAGAGCCGTGAGGTTATGCTGCAGCTCTATAAAACCCTAGTTAGACCACACTTGGAATATTGTGTTCAGTTCTGGTTGCCTCATTATAGGAAGGATGTGGAAGCTTTAGAGAGGGCGTAGAGGAGATTTACCAGGATGCTGCCTCGACTGGAGGGCAGGTCTTATGAGGAAAGGTTGAGGGAGCTAGGGCTTTTTTTTCATTGGAGTGAAGAAGTATGAGAGGTGACTTGATAGACATGTACAAGATGATGAGAGGCATAGATACAGTGGCTAGCCAGAGACTTTTACCCAGGGCAGAAATGACTATTATGAGGGGACATAATGTTAAGGTGATTGGAGGAAGGTATAGGGGAGATGTCAGACGTAGGTTTTTTAAACACAGAGTGGTGGGCGTGTGGAATGCACTGCTGGCAGTGGTAGTGAAGTCACTTTAGAGCCTTTTAAGTGATTCTTGGATAGACGTATGGAGGATAGTAAAATGTAGGGCAGAGTAGTTTGATCTTAGCAGGACAATAGGTCAGCACAACATTGTGGGCTGAAGGGCCTGTACTGTGCTGTACTGTTCTATGTTCTTAAAATTTCTTAATAATTGATTCTAACATTCTCCTGATAACTGATGTCAGGCTTGAAGTTCCCTGCTTTTGTCTACTTCCTCTCTTGAATTGTGGTTTTACATGAGCTGACTTCTAATCTGCTAGGACCATTTTAGAATTTAGGGATTTTGTTTGGCCATCTCCTTTCGAATCTTAGGATTTAGGGCTCCAGACCTGTAGATTTGTCAGATATTAATTTTAAGTTTCTCCAGTACTTTTTCCCCCATCTCTTTCTGGTACTTAATTTGCATCTTCTACGGTGAGGCTAGGTGCAAACAATTTGGTCAATGTCTCTACCTCTTCTCCATTTTCCATAATATTTTGCCCCGTCTCAGCCTGTAAGGAACTTATATTCACTTTAGCTACTCTCCTACTTTTAAAAGCTCTTACAATCTCTTTTTATATCCATGGCAAGTTTACTCTCATTCTAATTATTTTTCAATTTTTATATACAAGTCCTCACCCTTACTACTGCTTTTTGCATATATGCATACAATTTTTATAGATAATACAAATGAAAGGGCTTGTATACATCAAAATCTTACAAATGGATCTGCTATTTGATTCATCCTATGTACAGTGATTGCATCAACCAGCTTTTGGTCTTTCAGGTTAGCTGTTATGCAGTTCAATAGATCCATTAGAAGAATTTATCTCTGGATATTTTTAAAAATATATTCCCCTGATGCTTTAGCAGTTTGAAACTATACAGGGTCTTAAATCTTTAATATAAAAAATGTCCTAATTTAATCAGACAAAAATCTGACAAAATACTGACAGCAAGTTGAAGGACATATTAGGACAAGGAACTTAGATCGTGGACAAAGAGGTAGAATTTAAGTCATGTTTTACAGGACAAAAGAAGTTGAAAAGATAGACACAAGGCCATAGACCAATATGAACACAAGAAAACAATTTTAAACTTGAGCAGTATGTGGACCAGATGCCATGCAGCTCATCAAGCACAGAGCTGATGGGTGAATGAGACTAATACAAACAGTAGAGTTTCAGCATCCTGAGATTTCTGGAGCATGGAGGATCGACAGACCACTGTAATAGTTGGGGCAACAAAATCTTGAGGACTCAGCAGAAGATAAACTGAGGCAGGGACAAGGATAGGTGATATTGCAGAAATGGAAATAAGTGATCTTTGTAATGGAGAGAATCTCAGGTTGGGTGCTTAACTTTATCAAATCGGTTTGCAAGAAATATGGTTTAATCTTGGCCAGGACAGAGAATTGAATGAAGGCTGTCAAACAGAATTGTGGTGGGTGAAAGATGGTGAAATTGCAGGTGACAGGACTGAATGTCAGATCACGAGTCTGGCAACAGTGACAGTGGCAAGACAGATTACAGTGAAGTAGAGATAGTAAGAACTGCCGATGCTAGAGTCTGAGATAACACAGTGTGGAACTGGAGGAACACAGCAGGTCAGGCAGCACCAGAGGAGCAGGAAAGCTGAAGAAGGGTCCTGACCTGAAATGTCAGCTTTCCTGCTCCTCTGATGCTGTGTTCCTCCAGCTCCACACTGTGTTATTACAGCGAAGTAGAGTCAGGTTTCATCAGCACATGTTCCATCATGGGAGGCATTAACAACAAGCCTGCCTTCATTTTATCCAACAATCGAACATGAACAGTTCAAGAAGTCATCTTGAAAAGAACATCAATTGGTGGAAATGGAAACATTTCTGGAGATGCAGTATGGATTGCTATTCCGAAGGCAAGTAATGTTCTATTAATGGATGTAAAGCATTGCTTATAGGGCCTGCCACAGTTACTGCCCATGACTGGGTGCTAAAGGAAATGCATTAAGTATAGTACTTCATTGGCACACAGCTTTTTATTATATTATAATAAGACTAACTTGTGCATCATCTTTGCTCAAGTGATAAAGGTTGTCATCTTTAATTTAGGTGTGTTCAAGGCCAATCCTTGAGTATAATATCTAAGCTGACACTCAGATAGTGCCGCATTGTCAGAGTAATTGTTCATTTGCTGTCATACTAATGATTCTATCACCTTCACCATAAATATGAGAATGGAATTTGGGCCCTTTATGGCTTAGTTGCTCATGCTCACTGAGCAGGATAATTGTTCTTAATGTATTCAGGTGGAAGTTAGAACTTACAGAACAACCATATCAACATTACGACATATTGTGAAGGTGTGTTACAAATCACTTTGAATCTAAGTTGCTGTAGCACATGCATTTCTAAAAGACCAGGTTTCCCTCCTGCTTTTGGCATCTGCCATTGGTGTTTCTTGGAAGGATCTGCAGGTTGATACTCAACTTGTTTGGCCATATTATACAAGTATATCCCTCAGGTATTGAGTCCCAGAGTGGGACTCAAATCCAGACTGTCTCACTCAGAGACAGGGATGTCAACCACTGCACTACATGACCTTCCTCATTACAAAGTTTACTGACTTCTAAAAGCACAGCTACGACATTACATTCCAGTTCAAATAAATACAGAAGAGAGACTTTAAAAAAAACTGCCTCTACCTGGAGTAGCAGGATGCCTCCAGAGGGGAGATGTACAGACTCCAAATACAGAGTGCTGCTGGCATAAGGAACAGAACAGCCATCCAGCAGCAAGCAACTATCAAAGACATGAACAGTCCAAAGTCGTGGACAGCTGGGATCTAGGAAGGAAGAGAACAGAAACATTATTATTATTATTAAAGATCAAAAACAGTAACACAGGTCAAATGGGCATGAATCGATACTGAAAGTGGAATAATCTGAGTTATAGCTCATCATGCTATCTTCAGTTCAAACCTAACTGGGTTGGTTTCCTATCCTGCTGGCAAAAAGGTTTGTACATGAAATTTGTCTTTGGGTATGCATTACATTTCCTGGAGGGTGTAAATGTACTGATTATTTAGGGGTAAACTGACAGATTGTTCAATGAGGTCAAGTTTGTGGCTGGATCTGGAAAATAACTACATGTTATTGGAGAAGATGAAGTGTTGCCCAAGTTATGAAATAAGGCATTAAACTGGAGTAACAAAGAGGGAGCTTTACCTTAAATTAAACTATTTTGATTACTGATGCTGATAACTAAATTAAAAACAATCATGCAACATTAACATTCTTCACATTAATAATTCCAGAAAAGTTACTTTCAAACAACATATTCCAAACATCAACAAAAGGTTGACAGAGGTGAAATATACATTCCTATATTATATTCCAGCAAGACAGTGGTGAAGAAAGAAACCAGAGCCAAGTCTTTACTTTGGATAAATTAATTCTAAGTATATATCTCATGAGTCTACTATACTACTGATTGTCTCTTTCTACTTTTGATTTATCGACCTGTTATGCCTCAACTCTGTAGAAATTACAACCTTTGATGGGATTTGAACCTAGACTTTCTGGCCCAGAAACATAGATACTACCACTGTGTCACAAGACCCCACTTTGGCACTTCATAAAAGATTGAGAGAGGCACTACGGAGATTCAAACTAAAGATCTTCTACTTACTGCACAGGTGGTTAAGCAGGCATTCAATTAATACCCTCCATGTGTTATGCATTCAATTTCAATTTCAATTTCAATTTATACAATTATTATTCTATCTATTTATTAATTGATGGACAGGTGCTGAGTTTCTGAACACAAACTGAACAACTTGCATAGTACCTGAACAAACTGAAAGAAAGTTGACATAGCAGGTTTTTAACTTCCTTCTTGTCACATGCAAAATTGATATTTATTGCTCATCCCAAACTGCTTTGAGAAGGTGATAGTGGCCTGCATAGGTCGCGGTTTGATACTAAGTGACTCGTTATGCCACCTCAGAGGATAATTAAGTCAGTCACTTTTGTGTAAGATTTAAGCCTCATATAACAACAACATGCATTTATATAGACCTATTAACATGGTCAGAAGTTGTATTATGTTATTCAGAAATTATTATCAAAGAAAGTATGAGTCAGAGTTATTTAAGGAGATGTTAGGGAAGTTAAAGTCAAAAAGTTGGAAAACGTGGGCGAGGATGGGAAAGAGTTATGGAGGGGGTTCTGGACCTTAGGGCCTCAGAAGCTGACAGCATAGCTGAGAATGGTGCAGCAATCAAAATCAGGATTGTGCACAAGGCTAGAAGTGAGGAGTTCAGATATCTCATATTTTTATAGCATTAAAAGTTCAAGGTGATGCAGGGATTTGAAAGCATGAATGACAATTTCAAAATTAATTTAAATTTGTTGCTTAACTAACGTAGGCTGTGGAGTACATTGCTAATAGGTGAACAGGCAGTAGTGTGAGTTAGACCACGGATTGCAGAGTTTGTGATGACCTAATGGAGAGTGTTCTATGAGAAGCCAATCAGGGGTCGTTTGGAACTGTCACAGGGAAAGATAACAGAGGTATGGACTAGATTAGAAAGGCAGGTTTCTGTTCCAAAAGGATATTAGAATGGAGAAAGCCAATTTGAAATCAAAATGAGACATTTAGCTTTCGAACTGATATGACGGTTCAGTCATGGTCTGAAATCAACCATAAATTCTTTAAACTTGGACAGGTAGAATAAGTCAGTTTCAGTTGTGTCATGGAACAATAATCAAATAAAGGGGTCTAGTGGTGCAGTGTTAGTGTCTGTACTACTGGCCAGGAATGAGTCCCATCTGCTGTACACGGGTATCATAAATGTCTGAACAGGTTAATTAAAAATAACTATAACTTAGTAAGTTAAAAATAATATATGGGGATTTTGAAATAGCCATTGTAAACACCCTGTTTCACCTAATTAAAGGATTTTGGTCAATGCCTCAATCTCTAGAATAAAAAAAAAGCCCTTGAATTTGACATTATAAACAAACATTTTCATGCAAAAAAAAGTAAACAGAAAGAAACAGTGGAGTATCTGAATCATGAAAAAAGAAGAAATTAGTGGATTATACACAGCATGAAGTTTGTTATAAATAACTGACCTGGGAAAATATATTTGCTGCATAGGCGGCAGCTGTGGTGAATGAGGTGAAAAATGTGGCTTTCCCTGCTGTTTTAATGGTATGAATCATCCTCTCCTGTGGGTTGTGAAGGTGACTTGCTTGCCGGAAAGTATTGATGAACACAAAGACATCATCCACCCCTGAAAATACAACATTTAATTGAAAAAAAGAACAAATTTAAAAAAAACTGAAACACACACAGGAAATGCTAGAAAACCTCATCAGGTCTGGCAGAATCTGTGGAAAGAGAAACAGAATTCACCTTTTGCGTTCAGTATGACTCTTCTTCACAGCAGAACTTCAGTCATATCTGACTCAAAACGTTAACTCTATTTCTCTCTCCATGGATGCTGCCAGACCTGCTGAGATTCTCCAGCACTTTCTGTTTTTGTTTCAGATTTCCAGCATCCGCAGTATTTTGCTCTTCTAAAATAAAATTGGCCTTTGACCATTTCAAAAGATTGAAAGTCTTCATTTTATGTCGATGCACTTGGATGAAATTCTTATGTCAAGTTGGTTGAACAGAGATTTATTTTAAATGGATTAACCCTTTTAAATGGTTGGAAGAGGCAGTTCACACAGATGCACCATTCAAAAGAACAGCAAGATTTCAAATAATGATAAGGTTTTGAGTAAAAGAATTTATAGGGATTTGCAAGTGAACAGAGCTCAGTAAGATGTGGATGGATAGCTTCAAAGCATTAAGCTGGATGGCAAGGTATGATAATGACATCATGGGCATGTCCCTTAAAGGTATATAACTGATCTGCTGAAAGACATAAGAAGAACAACAACAATACCTACTGCATATACGAGGCACATGCGTGCAAATATGAATTACCCAACAAATGATAAATCTATTTGATTCTCTAGTACTTAAGATTCTGAAGAGGTAAGGGCCCATGAATCATAATTTTTTTTTAATAATGGTAGGGACAGTATTATGATACAGTTTGGTTGATGATTTATTTAAATGGCACTCACAGATCATTTGTTATCAGTGAACAGCTGCTTGATGTTAGATTGTTAACACTATTAGGCAGAGCAATGGAAACTTTGAGCAGTTTCCTCAGGTGCACATTACAGTGAGGCACTCAGTTATGTATAGATGAACAGTTAGCTGCAATTAATCAAAGAAAAGATCCCATGTGTTAATATACTTAGCTTGAGTACACCTAAGTACACAACTGAAAACCTGACTGGCAATCCTAAATTGGCACAGTTAACAAAATATATGACAGCCATTCGCTGATTCCTTTCTTAGGCTAATGTCTTGACCAATCAGTGAAGCCATTTTATTTAAAATTTGAACAATGCTTAGCAGTTAACTGCCACTCGTTATTAGTTGGTGCACTCTTCATGGCAACACCGTAACCAGAGTTGACTTGCCAAGTGTTCAGCACTTTCCTCTCATACAGTATAAATGTTGTTCTCCCTTTATTTTGCATTTCAATGATGAGATCAAAATAGAAGGTTTAAACAAAGTGGGTCATTTTTCAACAATATTTTGAGATTACACGGTCAACATTGTCTCTTTTACTTATACTAGAAACAGAACAGCTTTAGTTATGAAAGGGTAAATATGAGTCAGTTTGGACAATAATTTCCAGTGGACTCAGACACATAGGCCAAAACAAAAACTCAAATTGATATTAAGTGATAGTAGGAACTGCAGATGCTGGAGAATCCGAGACAACAAGGTGCAGAGCTGGATGAACACAGCAGGCCAAGCAGCATCATAGGAGCAGGAAGGCTGACGTTTCGGGCCTAGACCCTTCATCAGAAATGGGGGAGGGGAAGGGGGTTCTGAAATAAATAGGGAGTTGCAGTGGGAGAGAGATCCCCTGAGGTTTGTCCGGAGGGAGGAAGGTAACTTCTTCAGGCTAGGCATCCTTAGAAGAGGCTTCGCAGTAGGGGCAGTTCCCTTGTTGTCTCAGATTCTGCAGCATCTGCAGTTCCTACTATCTCTGATACAAGTTAAGAGCTTGTTCATTTGTATAATAAACTTAGAATCCTTTTTTTTCCTTTACTGATTTGAAAATTATAAATGAACATATTCAAAATAAAAACCAAAAGAACTGCAGATACTGGAAAACAGAAATTGTTGGAGAAGCTCAGCAGGTCTGGCAGCAACTGTGTACAGAAATCAGAGTTGAAATTTCAGGTACAGTAACCCTTCCTCAGAACTGATAGTAGCTAGGAAAAAGTTGTTTCTTATGCAGAAAACGGGGTGGGGGGAGCGGGCAAGGAATAAACAATAGGTGGAGATAGCACTCAAAGAGAGAGAAGAACAGTTTGACAGACAAAAGAGTGGATAATGATCAGCCTCGGAGAATGATTGTTTCAACTCATTACCTTGTTGCTGGACAACATCTCTGTCTCAGGCTTGCTGCAATGCTCCAGCAAGTTGGAAGAACAGTGTCTCATTTTCCACTTGGGAACTCTACAGCTTTCTGGACTGACTAGTTCAACAATTTTAGGGCCGACTCACCTTCTTCCATGTCCTTACCCCAACCGCCACACACCAAGCCTTGTTATCACATGGTCTGCTATTACACACAACCCCATTGTTAGCCACTAATAGTCCCCATTAATAGCTATTCATTCTCCTAGGCTGATCATTATCCACTCCTTTGTCTGTCCAACTGTCCTTCTGTCTCATTGGGCTCTATCTGCACCTATTGTTTACTTTGTACCCCATCCCCCACCCTATCTTCTGCATAAAAAACTTCTTCCTAGTTACCATTAGCTCTGGGGAAGGGTCACTGGACCCAAAACGTTAACCCTGATTTCTCTCCACAGACCTGCTCAGCTTTTCCAATGAATATATTCACCTCCTGAAGTTAAAGATGCACAGCAAATGAAACTATTGACAGATCACTCACCAATACCCACAATGACAAAGGCTGCCACTCCATTTAAGATGCCCAGGTACTGGATGCCAAACACTACATGGTATAGAAACAGGGCAACGAGGCAGCTCAAACCAATACTGGCAATGCCAAAGAACGTCAGAAAGGCTGGAGAAACACAAAACAGGTGTGAGATTCAGCATAGATTAAAATGTGCTCTTAAAACAGGGAACAATGAAAAATGTATTTTAAAAAGGTAGCTAGTTAAAGAAAAAAAATCAAAATATTGCAGTTTGAAGTAGTAATACTTAGAAACAAAGATGCAATTATAGAACTTGTTTGTTTTTAACATTCATTTCACTGTCCATTTAATTGACACACATCAAGATGTTACTATTTATGGACGTGCACTATTAATCAAGAATCTTACGTGAGTAAAATGGAAAATTTGAGTGCAATGCTTTTGATTTTAACCATTCAGTTAATGTAACGGTGTACATCTGGTACAGTGGACTTCCAGCAGATTTATAGAATTTGTCATTTCAAGGTAGGAGGAAGTGATGGAAATCCCACCATTCAGCTGAATAAAAGAAGAGAGCCAACAAAATACATTCACAAGTTTGGGGAGAAATGCATATTACGTAAATCAGTAACATTTGTGGATAATTGAGAAATTAACATTGAACAGTTTTGATTTAGTTTGTTAACATATAAAGTTGAGCTGAATAGACAGCTCCCACGAGGTAATCACAGATTTCAGCAGTGTCGCCTTCTAAACCTATAGATAATAACCATGTGGAATAAATGGATGCCATAAGTAATAAAACAAATCAATCGTTGGATGTGAACATAGAAGGTATGGTTAGTAAGTTCGCAGATTACACCAAAATTGGAGGTATAGTTGACAGTGAAGAAGGTTACCTCAGAGTACAATGGGATCTTGATCAGATGGACCAATGTGCCAAGGATTTTAATTTAGATAAATGTGAGGTGCTACATTTTGGAAAGGCCAGTCAGGGCAGGGCTTATACACTTAATGGTAACATCCTGGGGAGTGTTGCTGAACGGAGGCCTTGAAGTGCAGTTCATAATTCCTTGAAAGTGGAGTCGCAGGTAGATAGGATAGTGATGAAGGCATTTGGTATGCTTGCCTTTATTGGACAGTGCATTGAGCACGGGAGTTGAGAAGTCATGTTGCAGCTGTACAGGACATTGGTTAGGCCACTTAGAATACCGTGTGTAATTCTGGTCTCCCTGCTTTAGGAAGGATGTTGTGAAACTTGAAAGGGTTCAGAAAAGATTTACAAAGATGTTGCCAGGGTTGGAGGGTTTGAGCTAAAGGAAGAGGCTGAATAAGCTGGTCCTATTTTCCCAGGAGTGTTGAAGGCTGAAGGGTGACCTTATAGAGGTTTATAAAATCATGACAGGCGTGGATAGGGTAAATAGACAAGGTCTTTTCCCTGTGGTGGAGGAATCCAAAACTCGAGGGAACAGGTTTAAGGTGAGAGGGGAAAGATTTAAAATAGACCTAAGGGGCAACTTTTTCATGCAGTGGGTGGTGCGTGTACGTAAATGAGTTGCCAGAGGAAGTGGTGGAGGCTGATACAATTACAACATTTAAAAGGCATCTGGGTGGGTATATGTATGGGTTTAGAGGGATATGGGCCAAATGCTGGCAAATAGGACTAGATTTATCTAGACTATCTGTTCAGCATAGACAAGTTGGACTGAAGGGTCTGTTTCTGTGCTGTGCATTTCTATGACTCCAATTCAAAATGTATTAGTTATTCATTCATGGAATGTAGCCATCACTGGCTAGATCAGCATTTATTTTCCATCTCTAACTTCCCTTAAGAAAGCGATGGTGAGGATTTTGGACTATTGCAGTTCATGCACATCCACAGTGTGCAAGGAAGGAATTTCCAGGACTTTTGACTAGTAACTGTGCAGGAACGCTGAAATAGTTCTAAGTCAGAATGGAGTAAAGTTTGGAGGGAAATATATACGTAGTGTTGTCCTGATGCACCTCATGCTCCTGTCCTTGTGGATGATAGAGGCTGCAGTTTGGAATGTGCTGTTGACAGAGCCTTGTTGAGTAACTGCGGTGCATCTTGTTGATGGTACATACTGCAGTCACATGTGTGGTGGAGGGTGTCAATATATTCAGGTACAAAGAACAGTACAGCGAGTTCTGGTAGAGAGGATTTTAATCAACCAGGTTGTTTTGTCCTGCATAGTGTAGAGCTTCTTGAATGTTGTTGAGGCTGCATTTACCCAGGCAAGTGGAGAATATTGCATCATATTTACTGACTTGTGCCTTGTAGATGTTGGACAAACTTTGGGGAGTCAGGAGGTGAGTTACTCTCCACTGAGATCCCACCCTATGAGTAGTCACTCATAGTTTGTGGCAAAGTTCAAGTGATGATGGGGACAGGTAGAGAACGCTACTGACAGTCTTCAGTCACAAGCCTGCACACAGGTGGCCGCAGAGTGATGGACACACTCCAAAGATCAGAGCAGATGCGGAATTTGTATCCTTCTGTGCCAAAAAAGTAGACCCAATTTATGGGTACAGCATTGCTCTTCCCCAATCTGGGGAAAGAAAAGAAACAGAAACCCTAAACATATCCTTGTTTACCTGTACCTGCCAGGTTACCAATTCTGAATGGTTACACATTCACTGTGGTCAAGATATAAACAATAAGACTGCTAGTTACTGTATGAAAATTGGTCTATGGAATGTAAGAACACTTCTAGACAACAGTACGAGACCAGAGTGCAGAACAGCCCTCATCACCAGAATGCTGGATGGATATGACATCCATGTAACTGTCTCAAGTGAAACACTGCTCGCAGACAAGTTTCAATGTGATGCAGTTGATACAGGCTACACATTCTACCACACTGGAAATCCCAAGGACCAGCCTAAACCCTCAGACATGGACTTTGATATTTAATTTGAATCGGCATGCAAGCTCGACTCAGCCATCCAGGGTTCAATAACCTTGCAATATACAACATTTGGTAGAGCCTACACTTCAAGAATAACACATACAAATGAGGTCAAAGAAAACAGTATGATGATCTCAGCAAGATAATTAGCGAACCCTAACCTACTCCATCAGGACAAACTCATCAGCCTTGGTGAATTTTTTGCCTTGCTGCAGACTGTAATACATGGAGAGGAGGTATACTGGGACACCACCATATTGGCAAAGCAAACTCCAATGGCCAACTCATCTCTAAATGCAAAGAGTTTGATCTAACCAACAGCAAGCAGTCAAACATTATGTTATGTTGAGGTCGTACAGGATGTTGGCGAGGTCTCTTCTGAAATACTGTGTCCAGTTCTGGTTACCCTGTTATAGGAACGATATTATTAAGCTGGAAATCTATTATAAAGAAGAGATTTACCATGATTTTGTCAGGAATGGAGGGTTTTAGTTATAAGGAAAGGCTGGGTAGGCTGGGACTATTTTCACTGGAGCGCAGGAGGTTGAGGAGTAAACTTATTGAGGTTTTTAAATCATGAGGACTATAGAGAAGGTGTCTTTTCCCGAGGATGACGGATTTCAAGACTAGGGGGCATATTTTTAAGGTGAGAGGAGAAAGATTTAAAAAAGACATGAGGGACAATTTTTTTTTTTTTTTTAACACAGAGAGTGGTTCGTGTGTGGAATGAACTTCCAGAGGAAGTGGTTGATGTGGGTACAGTTACAACATGTAAAAGCTATTTAGGGAAGTACATGAATAAGAAAGGTTTGGAGGAATAAGGTCAAGCGCAGTCAAGTGGGACTAGTTTAGTTTGGATTTATTGTTGGCATGGACTGGTTGGACCGAAGTCTGTTTCCAAGCTGTATGACACTGTGGCTCTAAACTGAAAACAATATGGATGCACCTTAGATTCAAAAACTTGGAATATATCAGACTATGTTATTGTATGTCAGAGAGTTCAGGATGTTGCTTGACCAGCTTGCTTAGGGGTATAAAATGTTGGCTTCCAAACAGATCCTCAGAAGTATTATGTCTTTGAAGACAAAATCTAAGTTGTTGCAGCAAGGGGTCAAGCCACAAAGTAAGCTTGATGTAACTTTTCTTAAAGGCATGGCCAAAAGACAAGAATGAGAATAGAAATTAGCCACATGCTAGGAATTGTTGATTTCCTGAAGGGCAATACTGCCATTGATGATTTTGGAAAAAAAATCAAGGATACCACCTACACTGCAGTATCTGAGGCCTTAGAATTTATTAAACAGAAGTTCCAAATTTGACTTGATAACACTGAAAATATATAGCTAGTTTCCAGAGAAGCACAAAACACTCATAGAACTTATATATCTGGCACAATATCACCTACAAGGAACAGCAGATACCATTGTGCAAAACATGTGCTGTAGGCCAAACTAATAAAAATTAAGAACTAATGGTGGGAAAACATGGCCATTGAGCTTCAAGCAGTTGCTAATAAAAATGCCCTGTAAGCTATACCTGAAGGTCTGTGTTCAGTCTGTGGTCCCAAGACCAACAGTGCAATATCCAATGCACTGAGCAGAAGGCAATCAGCTATGATACAAGATCTCTCTCTTCGGGCAGAATACTTTGACAACCTCCTTAATCAAAAATTCATAGTGTGCAATGATCCCACTGAGCTACTTAATGGCATTACACTCTGGAAGAGCTTGCTCTTGATCCTTCTCAACTGGAAGTCATAAAAGCCATAAAGCAGCTTGCTGTCGAAAAATCACTGGGAACTGGCATTCCAAAGTATTTTGTATTCAGTAAGAATGAAGCATTCAAGTACAAAGGGGTTAACATGGTTAGGAAACGGACTCATCTCTTCAACCTTATCTGTAACCAGGATGCTGCGTTGCAAGACTGCATCCTAATTCACATTTACAAACAGACAGGGAGCAAATCTCGAACAAAAACAGATGTTGCTGGAAAGCTCAGCAGGTCCGGCAGCATCTGTGAAGGAAAAATCAGAGTTAACTCTTCGGGTCCGATGACCTTTCCTCAGACCTGGGTTTTCCAACAACTTTTGCTTTTGTTTCCGATTTACAGCATCTGCAGTTCTTTCGGTTTTTATTTAGACAGCAAATCTATGTGAGTTTCAAAATGGAATATCATTACTTTTAACTGCAAGAGCAACTCTTGCAAGGGTTAATCTC